TTTAAGACCTGGTTGTATTTCTTATTATTCTGGATGGTGGTGGTTGTTCAAACTAAATTGATGTTGTTTTCCCCAAGTCGGGTCTGTCTCTTGCCCGTGACCATAACTGGTGAGTGAGCCCTCCCTGTCCTTTGCCTCAACCCTTGAGCCTTTTGGTTGTATTTTCTCCTCCCTATCCAGCCGAGGAGGGGGTAGGGGTGAGTGAGCGGCTTCATGGGGCTTTGTGGCCGGCCGGGGGGGCTCAAACCACGACACAGATGGTGACACATTAGGGACCAGCTATCCTCTGCTCATATCAGACTGCAACGTTCAGGCGAATCATCTTACCTCCAGCAAAAACCGCGGGCTTTCAGGCATGAATTTCAGTGCCACCAGGGAGGCGATACAGGGCAGAGAGCAGACAAGTACAAAGACTCTCCAGCTGTGGAAGTGGTACTTGGTTCCCATACTGAACCCCCAGCCTGGAAACAGCAAGAGCCAAAAAGTAAAAACACTGACCAGGCATTCTGAGTTTTTCTCTCCTAAAGCAGCTCTGAACATTCCAGCTCTGTATGACATGGGGACAGGTTGAAAGTTTGCTATTCTTAGTAAAGACCGCTCTTAGAGGCTGAACAGCATGCTCGGTAGATAATAGCGAGTTCATGTTCGTTACAGAAAATGGAACATTCTTACTCAGGCTCTGCCTTTTAAAAACCTTCTTTTATCTTTGAGTTTAGAAATCATGTAGTGATAAGAATAGCTCCACACAGCTGTAGGCAGGTAACGCTGGGTAAGGGCAGAGGAATCAGGGCCATAATTTATTGCTGCTTGGTGATGTTACGAAGGGTTTACAAAGGTTAAATCTTCTCTGATCTGAGAGGCACATTAGAGATGGTTCCTTCCATCTTGTACATCACACATGTATTCCACATTTTATGGAAGCAAGGTAGGAAAGCATGCTTGGTTTTTTCCAGACCTACAAAACCTGATCTGGGATTCAAACTCATAAGAAACAAGATCCTTCTCCTGCATTTAAGACTCCCACTCTCCTGCATTTTTCCTGATGTCTGACCAGGTCAGGTATTCCCCTCGCTAAAAAGTACAGCATTGTTCTTACATTGCTCCATTTACTTTCCCTAGGCTTAAATCTCAGAAGGAATGTTTAATTCAATTTTTTTTTTCTATAAACATTTTTATTCATGTAATAATCATCAAGCAATGGTTTTTCTAGATGTCTCATCTGAGTCAGTCATGCTATTCTACTCATCTCATGAAGTTCCAAAATATAGGTGGAACATGGGAAATCAAAACCAGAAGTTCTAAAAACACAGCATCAAAAAGCCGTATAAATGTAATGGAAATACATAAGGGTTTTTGAAAGCAAATATAGTTGCAGATAACAGAATTATTTCAACCTGACCCTACTATACAGTAAGTTCTCCTATGTTTTCCAACAGTTTCTGTCATATCGATCAAAAGCATATACTGAGTGTACTTTCAATGTGGTAAAAATGGATTGATAGATAGGTAAATGTTAGTGGTTTTCTTCAAGGTCTTTGTGGTTTGTCCTACTTTCCTCAAATAGGATTTCGCAAACAGCTGGTGTCACTGAATACTGAGGGAATTAATCTTTTCCAGTAGATATTTGTTTGTGATGTTTTCCTAGGATATGCACGAGTTACGAGGAATACCATGTGACAGGCAGATTTTTGGTCCCCAGAGCACGAATATGTTTCAGAGTACGCTCATCTACTTTTCCCCTCCCCCTTCCAGCTCTGGGCAGGGAACTCATTCCGCTCCTGAACCCGTTTAGGTGAAGTCAGGTGTGACTCCAGCCTATCACATGTTGAAGAAATGTGTCAGCAGATACACAGCCCTGAGAGTGTTGGCACTTGGAGAAGGAAAAGAACATGTGCTATCCTCACTGCTGTCATTCATAGCACCCAGTAATTCCCTGATTAAAATTACTTTTTTTTGATAACTGAATCAATTTTTGCAATATAGTCCCAGTCCAGTTTTCCCTGAATGCACTGCATTTAGATTAAGAACTCAGGCTCTGGCAGTATAATATAACAAGGTGTGTATTTGAAGCTTTTGATGCAAAGCAGCCCTTGTCAGTCCTATTTACAGCCTTAGTATCAGTCAATCAATCACACAGTCAATTTATCAGACCTTTTTATGTGCACCTCAGGTATTTATTATTTTCAGTTGTTTATGTTGGGATGTGTAAGGACTGACTAATGCTACCTGTGTGGGATTTTGGGGTAGTGTAGTGATGCAGAAACATGGTGGTTGTCGAAAGTCAAAAAGTACAAACAAATTACCGTAATGTGGGATGATGCTCCAAGCCATTGCTGAAGCAAAAATGCCACCAATCATCCAGAACATGCAAAGCCAGCTCAGGTGTTCTCCCCTCTTCTCACGAGATAGGAATTCAGAGAAATAGGCAAACACGATGGGGAGGGATCCCCCGATACTGAGGAGAAAAAACAGCACATGGGAAGAATAAGTGTCTTCAACATTCTTGTAGTTAGGATTGCACGTGTAAAGAGGGAAAGTCACATTCACAGATGCGCTGCGCAAAAGTGAGACTTGTAGGAAAAATGCAAATCTCTTTCTGGCCGGACTGGTCTTAGGTATCAAAGATAAACAAGATTCTTCTCAGGCTCTGAAAGCTGAATTTCCTGTGCAGTTTATATAAAGCCAGTGTAATGCCCTGCTCTTGACCCAGACATCTTCTCTGTTGTTATTTTGTGATCACTCATTATAGGGAGGCAAAATACAGGCAGGCGATGGGAGACTGAGGGTCTCACTGGAGGCCCTGGCAGTCAGGATTGTAAACCGAGGTGGGCATTTATCAGTCTCACTCACCTTTCTGCACAATTTGGGCAGTACCAGAAGAATGTCAAGGACCAAACTTTCCTACCGCTAGTGCTTTCAGGGTCGAGTGTGGTAATGCAATCACACATGCTAAACAGCAGTGCCATCCCAGCTCGGTACCAGAGATGCATCTCGTGAGCAGCCTTCCTTCTCCCACCCCGCACACCCCCTGTGATGGGACATCTCCAGGACATGGGATGGATTCACCAGTTACCCACCCGAGGCCTGAGATAAGGCGGCAGAAGAGGAAGAATCCATATCCCTGGACAAAGGAGGAGAGGAACGCGAAGGCAGCATTGATTGCAAGTGATATGATGAGGCATTTCTTTCTTCCCAGTTTATCAGCGAGGCCACCTAGCATGACAGCCCCCACCATCATTCCTAAGTAGACTATCAAGCCTAGAAGTAAGAGAGAGAGACAGTGAGTTTGGTAACCAGGTGGAAATAGTATGTCAGCTGATGTTGACCTGGCTTACCATGCAATAGACATACCCCCATCCTCCCCAAATGAACCATCTCAGGTGTCAGAAATTCTTACCTGTTGGTGGAACCTAATTTTCCCATCTTGTGCCCATGAACTTGCATCATGCAATATAGACATACCCTCGTTTGACCAGACCCACATCTTTCTTTCCCAACCTCGCTGCTCACACATCCCCTGCACGTAAGCAATGGCCAGGCATAAGCAGCTTAGGATGCACGTGTCCCAGCTATGTGCCACCAACAATACAACAGAAGTCTGATGTCTTAACTCCACTAACCCCCCTGAGCGCAATGGGACTGAGGATGTGTAGGGAGGATGCTGTCTCTGGCTGCTGTTTATGCACAGATAGCTGTGAGAGCAGAGAGACTGCTAAAGCATGGCTAAATCTCTTTGCAGGTGCTTCCTTTGCACTCTTCCCTTTCACTCTCTGCTTTTCCTAGCTTTATCTGAAAGGATCAGTCTGCTACCGAGACTCACCTTGTGTAGCAAAGATGCTTCCTTCATTACTGAGTCAAGATCTGGCATCTAACCAAAGGACAACTTACAGAAAAGAGTGCAGTCTTAGTCTGAAAATTTCAAGAGAAGGAGAATGTACTGCTTGTCTTGACAGTTTGTTCTATAGAGTTGTCCCTCTGACATTGTTAAGAAAAATGGATTCTTCTTCTTAACTTGATTTCGTTAGATCTTCTGCTATGGGCTCCTCAAAAGACAGTTTCAGTGACTACATTTAGTGTCAGGCTGAATAGGAGAGAATGGTTTTCTTCTCCAAATAGCCTCCCTGTACCCATCTCACGATGTGCTTGCAACTCTGGCCTAGAAAACACAGCAGTTGTCCTTGGCTCGTCTACTGACACTGCCACCAGAAGGGCCTGCGCTCTATTGCCTTTTGCTTTATGTGGGTACCAGTGTAAATAGCACTAATTAATAATGCCTGAAGGTCCAGGAATATTTGTGGTTTTATTTATTTTATCTACTTTCCAGATGTAGAGACTTCGGCGAGCAATAGCCCTAGGAGGAACCACAAGCTATTGTCCTTTTGCTGGCAAAACTCCTGTTGAAGCCTGCAGGAGTTATGATGTGAAAGGACAGCAGTATCAGATATTAAGCACTTAAAATCTAATAGAAATCACTGCTGGAGGGTTGGAAACATCGATCAGCTACAGTGGAATGATTTGCACTGCTATTAAGGAATAACATCTGGGAGTTGATCTGTCCAGCAGCACATGGACCAGGTCCTTGAAGGCTCTATTGGCCACTAGGCTTCAAGTTTTTGTTTTAGGCTTATCTGTGAACAAATCTCTGTTCATTCCTTTGAGCCAGGAAAGACATAAGGATGGAAGGGATCAGGCAGAAGCATATGTCCCCAAGAGTTCTCTGAAAAAGCCCAGATGAGGCAAGACCACAAGGAAACAGACTATCAGCAAGTGGATCAATGCTACTGAAGTTATTCTGAGTTTCACAGTGCAGAAGACAAAGCCTTTCATGCTTTGTCCACTTGCTGTGTGTGGCTGCGGCTGCCTCTGCCTTAGCACGACAGGACCAAAACCCTTGGTGACCAGGTGACTTTACTGCATGCTCTGATGGCTCTGCCAGCTGCTGACATGGAAGTGTTTGGGGCAAGCACACTGGCACTGCATTGGCAGCTCCTTGGCTACTAAGCTGCATATGTCTCAGAGCTGTCTGCTGCAGGCTAGTGGTCCACAGAGTAGGAGCAGTGTCACCATTTCAGAAGAAAGTGATAGCAACCTCTGTGTTTCCTGGGGAGCACAGAGGTGCAAGAGGCTGTTCCCAGAATACCTCCTATATCATCTCAGGCACCGCTGGCAGGATTATAGTCAATGACTATAGGCTGCACAGTCCTACAGTGGACATCCTGATGGGGCCTGATCATGGCTGGATATGATCCAGAGGAGCTGAACTATGTCAGCACGGAGGAATATCTGCTTGCGAGAAAGCACAACTTGCAGTGCAGGGAGTTCTTGAAGGAAAAAATGATGCTTGGAGATGTTTGGAGACTGGGGGCATGTCAGATTCAAGACCCAGCCAAGTGGGGGTTGAAGGAAACATCATAACTCAAGAAAAGAAGCAGTGTTTCCTGCATCTCTGGCCCCGAGTGAAGACAAAGATGCTGAGGAAGTAAATACACTGCCTTAATAGGAAACATTCCTATTCACTGACTGAATAAATGCAGCTAGAAGGAACATTTTTCAGGCATGGTTGAAGAGCATCTCTTTGGAGGGTCATTTGTTAGCTTGAACCAAGTGTTGACTTCTCTTGAGAGCCAACATCTTCCCCAGGACCTGTTCTGTCAAACACATCACTTGGAAAAAAAAATGATGATGATTTTTTTTGCAGTTCGTTAGTGTTTAAACAAGAGGATCAGTCCGACGGCTGAAGGCTGTTCTGTGCCATCCAGCAAAGCTAGCTGAAGACTAATGCAGAGCATTATTTGGCAGCTGATTCTGCCTTTCTTTCAATTGAAAATGCCTGCACTTGATTTGAAATGCATTACTAAATTAAAACCTATGCAGCAGAGTCCACTGCAGCTTTGGAAGGATACTTGTCTCACATTGATCAGAAGTGGAAAAGTTCAGAGTTCTGAAATCTCCCCTGTTCCACAGCAGGGTGGTGGGGTCACCTCTCTGTGAACAGTTCTGCTTGCTCTTCTATCCACACAATGTCTAATGGGCAATCAGGATTTTGTGTGTCAACAGCAAGAAATCTGTTCTTGCCCCTTAACAGCCTTTGTACCAGAACCATAGCACAGGATTTTGCCAGCACAATTGTACCTCCACCATAAGCATGTGGGTCTGTGTGATCAACACCCACACCCCCTTCCCTACCCTCCTGAGCTGAGCTGTCCTGGTGAAGTGGTCTGAAGGTGTGTAAAGGTTTCAGATACTGATCTGCAGCAGTCCGAGTAGATAAGTACACATCTGAGAATCTGGGATCTCTTTCTCTGTTAACTTTGGCATCCAGCTTGTTTGCTGAAGTGCAAATTACAAGGGAGAGATGAGGCAAAAAACTGTTTCAGTCCAAAATCCGAAGGAAGAATCTTAACATAGTGCTGTGAGGCTTATGCTTTTACTCTGGCTCCTGAGCAGCTCTGATCGCAGAGAGCAGACGAAGTGATGATGCACCCTGTATCTACTCACTGGTGCATCGCAGCCACCATCTGACAGTGAGCCCTGCCAGCACTGTGCAAGCAGCTCACAGCACAGCTCAGCCCACATTGCTGGACCCCAATGAGGAAGAAAAAAGTATCTGCTGAGGTGGTTTTGTTTGTTTGTTTGTTGGGTTTTTTTTTGTTTTTGTTTGTTTGTTTGTTGGGGGTTTTTTGTGGTTTTTTGTTTGGGGTTGTTTGGTTTTTTTTTTTTCTTTTCATAGAAAATCCCTGGATGGCAGATGTTCATCCAAATCCTCTTAGTAACAGAAAATGTCTCAGGTCAGGAGGAGGTGGAGGAGTTTGTTACTGCCTTCTAGATGGTGATTTATGGCAGACAAGCACCTTGCAACAGAGCTGTTAATGTCACAAACTCTCTTAGAAGATGTGACTTTAATTGGTTATTGCATGTAATAAAGCAATGGATGCATTGTTCCCTAGAAATTTAAAACAATGAAAAGCTGTAGTAAAGGAAACCTCAAGGATGACCACAGACTGTCCACTTGGCCGGTTTCTGAGGGGAAGAATCCTGGTTGCAGAAATGTGTACGTCAGGGCTGAAGCCTCAGTAGGACATTTTATTATGATGGAGAGGTCTCTTTTGTGAAGACTGCATGTTCTGGTCAATATCATTAAAACTTTTGGGACAGCTGCTATAAAACACTCTTCCTGTCAGCTGATGGACCCGAGGTGCAGAACAACATCAGACTTTGCAGATTGTGTCCTGGATTAACAAGAAGGTGGCAGGGACCCAGGGAGAAGCGGAATAGTTACTCATACAGTCTCCATGCAGGACAGTCTTCTGGAGAACAGAGTGATGCTTATTACCTTTGAAAGAGATCCAGCTCATATCGAGGAAACTCAAATTTTAAGGAGAATTAGAGCAAGGAAAGTGATTACTAAATGGTATTTCTTTTGCTCTGTTACTTCTGTCCACCAAATATGCTACGGAATTACAACGGTCTGTGCCAGAAGCTTGACTTCAAATCTCAGCTTCAAACCACGCAGACCTAGACTGTGGTAGGAGGGCTCAGCTTCCAAATTAACACATGCGGTGGTTAGGTGAGATGTTAAGAGCAACTCTGAATAAGCCATTATTTGCAAACTATTCCACAAGTAATGGAGTATAATGAATGCCTGTGGGAAAGTCTGCAGTAACCTCCCATAAAATTGATGGAAAACCAAAGAGCAGAAATTCTAAGAATAAATTTCAGGTTATGACTCATCCAATGCTGAAGTTATGAGGAAAATATGTGACCACTGACTGGGCTTATTCCCACTAGAAGAGAGGTAACATATACAGCACATTCACATTAAGAAATTTATTAGCCTTTATTGAAGTTATGTGCTCCATATTAGACAGGAATTGTGGACTTAAAGCTGAAGATCTAGGAATAAGGAAAGGTGCATACTGTATACAGCTATGTGTGTGCTAAATTCTATTTTTACTATTTCGATATAATTAAAAGTAGACTCCTAAGTGTTTCAGAAAGAAAAGAAAAAATTCAAGGTTTACCTAAATCTCTGTCACAAGCATGAATTTCTTTCATTGACAGTTAATAGGATTAAAGTTCTTAAAAATGAGGCATCTGAAAATACTCTCTTTCAAGTCAGGACAAGGACTTGTGGAATAAATGGAAAATTTGAGCAGGAAAAAACCCCAGCTCACTGGGAAGAATTAGTCCCAGAGTCTTTGGTGCGGTCAGGAAGGTGAGGAGGCTGCCTGGGTCTGGGTGCAGGGTTGTCTTGCTTC